GAACATAAACTTGTGGCTCCTCCCATGTCACTGTGTTGTTATACATCATATTTTTATGCTCACCTTTCTTACCATGGAGAGCATAAAGAGGAGGTGCTATTGGTAACAGGTTTGGCCAGCTCTTGGTTTCCTCTTTCCAGTTTACCGCTTACTTGATCAGACTCGTTTGCTTTTCCCTTCACTAACAGGTAAGTCTTTCATTTTTGATTGTAATTCAGACTAATTAAGAGTTGTGTATTTATGTAAAAAAAATGTGGTTTAATCTAATCGTTGTTCATTTATCTCCGTGTTGTAAGTTTTAACAACATCAGAAAACACATCAAGTTGAAACTGATTTTATGAAATCTGGAAGACAAAAATACAACTTATAAAGTAAGAAGTCTAATAATAAATATAAAATATAGTACATATATTTATCCATTGGTACAGAGGTTTCAGGTTATGGGTGGAAAACAACACAAAAACATGACTTCCTTGTTCCTTGAACAAGAGCGTGCAGTAAATAAAGCTGGGGCATGGTGCTGACATCACTATGTGCTGCACATTTATCTGCTAAAACTGTGGATTCAACTGCATTTCTGGAGTTTTTGAAATGTGTTGCATTAAATAGAAAATAGAGAAAAAGTTTATTTTATTTAGCTTTGTTGATATAAATGTGGCAACGATTATTGAGAAAGATTTTTGATGTAACAACTGAGGGAGGAAGGAGAAACAATTCAGCAGAAATGAAAGAAAAAAATTAATAATGACAACCTTTTGTCATGTGAGGCGGAGGCAGGCAGGAAGGGGAAGTTTAGTTCTAGAAAACTAGAACTAAAACTAAAACTCCAAACCAGAAACACAGGGAGACTTACACACATGAGGAGATACAACAGGACAAAAGGCAAAGGAACACACAGGGTTTAAATATACAAGGGAATAATGAGGGAATGGGAGTTAGGAGGGAAACACAGCTGGGATTAATTAGACATAACAAAACAAGGGGAAGCAAAATTAGACACACTGACATGGGACTGTCAAAGTAAAACAGGAAATAACACAAACATCGAACCAGGAAAATAAGACACAACAGAAGGAACACAAGGGAGGCACAGAGACAAAACCTAAAGGAAATCACAGCAGTGCTAAAGAATAACTGAGGAACAGAAAATACAAAAAAACAAATCACGAAAAACCCAGAACATTGAATAAACAAAAACCGAAACATGAAGTCACCCGACTACGGACCATCACACTTTCACCATGAATATGATTGTTATTATGTTGGTTGTTATTATTATGCCAGAAATTATCTATAGAGACTAAAGTCATTTTTTGTAGCACACGACAAACTTATTTCTGCTGTGAAGTGAAAATTTTAACATAGAAGTTTATGACACGTGACCTGCTGTTGTAGCCGACACAGTAAAGTGACTGGGCACTGCTGGATTCCATTTTCAGCACCTGGAGGTTGCCTTTATATGTAAAACATTCTTGTAAACTGGTATCAGCACAGTGTTATCCATATGAAGAACCAGTGTCACCCATTAAAGCCAACTTGAGAGCGTCCAGTGATGTGACAGCCTCCTGGCATCAAGTCGGTTTAATTAAATTAACAAATTACTTTTAAAATTCTGTTTAAAGCTCCTTTGGTGGAAAGTGAAGTTAAGTGAAGGGAAGTGAGGTGTTTGGGTCAAATTGTTTTTCCACTAAGACTTTAATCCAATTCAGCTCATTTCAGTTTTATCTTGTCTCTCAGTCTCCAGGATCTCAAGACAGGATGTCAGTGACTGTGTCCAAGGCTGATGGGGTCACTGTACTCACTCTGACCTCTGACCCCCAAAGTCCTTGGCCTCCTCTGTGCCAGATCTTCAAGAACCTTTGCTACAGTCCAGTGTGCTGCACTGTGTCTCAGCACCTGAGAGGTCTCAACAGAGCTTCTCAGACAGTGCTGGGGGTGAGCTACAACCATCTATACATCACATTTTATATTGTGCCTATTTTTTAATTTGTAGTTTTTTCTTAAACTGCACAATGTTCACTGTTCATACTGCACTTCTTTTTCACAGACTCTGCAGATAATGATCGGGCTGCTCAACATTGGATTTGGACTTATACTCCATAGCACTTGGACCTCCCCTTACATAGACTACTTAGGCTTTCCATTTTGGTTGGGTGCATTGGTATGGAAATAATGATGGATGGATATATATGTGGTTGTTATTGTTGCCTGATAGCAACAAGGTTCTGGACTGGGTGTGAGTTGTGTGTGAGTTATTTCTGGGTGATCCGGTTTCTTCCACAGCCCAAAGATGTGTTTCATGTTAACTGGTAATTCTAAATTGTCCTTAGGAGTAGAAATGAGAGTGTGTGGTTGTCTGTTTGTGATAAACTGGTGACCTGTGTCCCTCCCTTGTTAGTGAGATTTGGTTAAGAAAAAAGGATGACCAGATTTGTTTTTCCATTTCACATCAGGTCATACTGGATACACAAGATGAGAAATGAAATGCCAAAAAAGAACCATGTAAACCAAACCTGTCACAGTAATGGAATAGGAATCAACTGAGTAATCTTTAAGAGAAGATCATTTTGGGGGTCAAACATATCTTTCCACAGTTAAATATGTGACAGAAAGCTTAATTGCCAAGTTTTGTCCAAGATCTAAGTGTGATGACACCGGTGCACATTTACAAACACCGATTCATAGTTTTGCCAGGTTACATTAAAAATTAGCTATAGTTCAAAATAGCAGCTTACACAAACAAACAATTGTTCTCTCATGGTGAAAAGTTTTATTTACAACATATCTTGCAAAAAGAGGGGATAAAATGTCCATAAAGACCCCTCTGTTTTCTCTGTTGCACTCAGTAAAAAGATGGACGTGAACTTTATTTATGTATTTATTTATCTTGTCTTTTGTCTAGTTCATCATGTTCGGCATTGTGTGCGTTTTGTCTGAGAAGTATCCAAGTCCATGTTTGGTGAGTATTTCAGCTGTAAAACATTTTCATATGATCTCTAAAGGACTTTTTGATGTCATGTCTTATTCTTATTTGCATTCAAGATAAATATATTAAACATGTACAGTATGTCCTACAGCATACACACACTTGCATAAATACTGGAGGGAAGTTTGCTGAGAGAGGACTTAACACCCCTCTAGTCTACATATAACTGCTAAATTATTTTTTATCAAATAAAATACTTTGATAAAAACTATTTCCCACTCCTGACCCCACCTCCAACTTTTCGCACTGCATCTTGAAACAGTTTATATTACAAACAACAATCAGGATGTTACATCCTCATCATGGAAAAAGTTTCCACTGGCCTGTAGGTGTAAATAGACTGCAGAGTCCTGGCCTGACGAGGTAGCTCTTCTGTGTTGTGCCATCCGGCGCAACACAGAAGAGCAACGCATGTTCAGGGTTTTAAAAGCCACAGAGACGCGGTATTTAGAAAAAGTGCATCTCAACTGTTCGGATACTCCTGACACATACAGGATCACTAAAGGTTTTCACTTAGGCAGCGGTTGTCCTTCTCTCCTGGATCAGTTGGAGCTTTCTTTAGGAGCCTTCCCAGCTTTGACAAATGTCCAGCTGGGATAACCACATTTACTCAGGGCCTTCTTCATGTGATGTTCTTCTGCTTCCCTGACCGCTTCGTCTGTGCGGATGGTGTTCATTCTGTGTTGTAGCGCACTGGTGACACCCAGATTGTGCTCCACTGGATGGTGAGAGTCCTACGGAGCCCCGCAGGGGACATGGGAGAAAAAAAAAATTAAGACGGACTTTTGCGAGATCTCGCAAAACTAACTCGGGATCTCGCAAAACAAACTCGGGATCTCACAAAACTTTTGCGAGATCTCGCAAACGTTTTAGCCGCATTCTTCGGACGCTGG